ATATTAATTTAATCTGTCCATGTCTTAAAAAAAATCTTAAATGGAGTTTTCTAAGAACAAATTAGTTGTTTAACAATCCTTAAAAATTAAATCCTTAGTGTTTTAACACTGAACTGTGAAATAAAAAACAATTAAAGGACTTCTTATGTTCTTCATGATAATCTAAAATTTTTATTTGATTCCAGGTAATTTTGGACAATAGACATGATGGGATGTTTTCTCTTGGAATAAATAACAGTTTAATTACATCATTGAAATGAAATATAGTGTGGGCTTAATACATTGTAAATATTACAGAAGTACTACTTTGCTATAGTAATTTAATGACTTAAGCTACATTTAATAACAATCTTACCAGTACTTGCGTACAAAGTATTATACAGATTACTAACAAAGGTATTGCAGCGGTTGCAAGGATGTTACCAGCTCAACAAACATCTAACAATACAATATTCTTCTAAGAGGAAAAGTAATAATGTTAGATTTACAGACAATGAAGATTTATGTTGTGCACTTGAAACATTGGAAATAACTCAGATAATCTGGTATCTTGATTAATATTATTACAAGAAAAGGTTTCCTTTCTTGGGGACTGTAATCCCCAGCAGGCCTAATACACTAAGTTTACATGAAGATAGTTTTTAGGATGCCACAGCAATGTAAAGAAACTCTCCTATCTGAAAATTACTGATTTGTAGGCCACTGCTTGAACATCTGACTGGTTTTTGTTTTAAACCTATTTACATACATTCAGCCCAAATCAGTAGATAAAATGTTTTGTCTATATTACAATAGGCATTGTCAACATTTCATCAGAAGGCCAGTACAAGACAATTGTTAGTAGCCATTGCCCAGCATTTAGGAGATTTTAAAATATCTTACAAATATACAGTAAGATTGTGAGAAATCTTATTTTGTGTGTGATACTGGTGGTCTCTTTTACAGACATGGAATGGCAGAAATTAATCAAGGACAATAACTAGATGCAAGGAGCTCTGGTAGCGTAGTGGTTACGAATCAGGCTGCGAACCAGAAGGTCAGCAGTTCAAAACTACCAGCTGTTCCGTGGAAGAAAGATCAGACTTCCTGCTCCTGTAAAGATTTACAGCCTCGGAAACCCTATACAGGGTCACTATGAGTTGGAACTGACTCCACGGCACATAACCACCACCACCACCACCCATGTAGGCCCTTATTCTCATCTGGTAGCTGGGCCTGTTTCCCACAGAGGAGTTCAGGCAACAAACATTCCTTCACTTTTAATGCTGCAAAGTGACAGGCACACTTAGCAATCACCTCAAGTGTAGACATATCTGTGGCCTCTCTAAGATCCATTTTTCTTTTACATATACTTCATATGTAATGAAAACTTAAGGGTCTTAGAGAACAACCTTACTTGTCTAAATGAAATTGCTAGACGAAGACTGAAAGATTCACCATCTTCTGAACAAACTGAGCAAGTTCGGAATTTGGCCCATTCTGAAGAAATGTGTGATGGCAAAATGCATAATCAGGACGAATATGTTATCCTCAGAAGAAAGGGGATAACTATGAAGGTAGTCCTTATGACGCTTACTGAAATTTAAATCATATTTAAATGTTTGTTGTTGAGTGCCGTGGAGTCAATTCTGACCCATAGCAACCCTGTATAGGGTTTCCAAGGAGCAGCTGGTGAACTTGAACCGCTGAATGTTACAGTTCAAACGACTTTGCAGTCTGACGCATTAGCCCATAACGCCACACCAGGACTCCTAAATGAATAGATCTAATTAGGGGACTAATTAATGAATGATACTAATAAGTGGTAATTCTAATGAGTTTATTCATTAGAGAGAATATTTTAGTCACTTGGGTTAGGAAATGTTATTAAAAATGTCAAAGTGAACTGAACTAAATTGAAATGTTTTTAAAATGAAGATGGCATACAACATACATATTTCACAGATATTTCTTAGAATATCAGTAAGCACCAAGCTTAGTGCTACCAGCCCCTTTGTCCCTTAATGTATTATTATATACGATTTATACTTTGAAAGCACAACACACTATAAAATCGACATTGCATACACACAAAAACAGTTTCAAAAATGAATCTTGAAATGTTTTCATCTAAAATGAGAAGTTTATCTTCACCAGGTCTTCAGAGCTAGGAGAAGAGTTGTTAAGTGCCTGGTGAGCTCTGAGATGTGTGGATTAATATTCAGGATTATTTAGGATAAAGACTGACAATTTTCAAATGGAAAGTAGACCCTGGCAAGGTTTTTGTTTTTTGTTTGTTTGTTTTCTGTAATTTTTTTTTTCTGTCTACAGATTTTGTTAGTTTTCCAGCATCCTGAGAAGATCCCTGGTGGCACAGTGGTTAAAGCACTATTAACCAAAAGGTCAACAGTTCAAATCTACCAGCTGCTCCATGGGAGAAAGATGTGACGGTCTGCTTCCATAAAGATTACAGTTTTGGAAACCCTCTGGGGCAGTTCTACTCCGTCCTGTAGATGTGCTATGAGTTGGAATAGACTTGATGGTAGTGGGCTTTTGGTAGATCGGAGCCCCCATGTGCATATCACAGAGAAAGTCAGAGAAGCTATTGGGTGGATCTGAGATAAATGAACAGACAACTAAAAGTATTCCTGCTTAGTCCACAGACCACATTCAGCCTTAGACCATAAACTGCAAGAAGGAGCATTCTGTCCTGTCAGGCTGCTCAGCCATCTCCAAAGCTAGAAATCACCAGATAAACACTAACTCTCTATTTCACTTCATGCTATGCAGACCTTGGGTGTTGTGGTGGTTGGGGTATTGCAAGAGTCATAATTTATCCCTACAGCAAAGGCAACATTATAAATAATTCTGGCAGGGTCAAGTAACTTCTTAAGCAGTATCATTCCTTATTAGAAAGAAACAAAAAAGGACCCAATTCTGAGTACCCATGGCACCATTAAGTAGACGGCTGGGGCATAAAAAGGAAGATACGCTCATGGTTATTCTTTACCAGATCTTGCTAACCATGAGCAGAGGAGATGTAGAGCTTCAGCCCAAGCTTAGACAAAGTCAGTGCTTGAGTGCCACCAAGAGTACCTGGCGATGCACAGGAACAACCATCCATCTTCCAGGTCCCAATACTGAGTGGGTCTGCCCCTCACTGTCCTTCTCCACTTCATTCGCTGCCTAACTTAGCTTCCTTAGCCACATGAGTTGGACCTGGTAATCTTACTGCAACATGTTGTCTCAGACTGCTTAATGTCTACCTAGTTACCACTGAGACCATTCTAACTCAAGGTGAACCCATGTGTATCAAAGTAGAACTGTGCCCCAAAGGATTTTCAAACAGCTAATTTCTCAGAAGTAGAGCACCAGGCCTTTCTTCTGAGGTACCTTTCAGCAGACTTGAACCTCTGACCTTCTGGCTAGCAGCTGAGCACTTAACCAGGGATATTTGCATCATCCAGGGACTTTCTGATTTCAATTGTGCTACTTAATCTAGGAAAACACTACCTACACGTACAATGAATACATTTTATAGTCTGTGGCTTTGTTTTTAGAACTATGTCCATTTTAGTGACTTATATCTTCACGGGCTTGAAGACTTTAGGTGCTCAGAAGCCAAAACATTCTCATTTCCCAACATTAACACTGTAAATACAAACCTTCACTTGAATGCTTGTCACAGATTATTCCTTGTTAAACACTGGTTTTATGTTGTACCTATGGTCAGTTTGGTAATACCTGACCCAAATTTCTTGAAGGAGAATGTTTATAGCCAGTATTTTTATCACCAAGATTTCTGGAAGAACTCAATTTTAGAAACTGATTTCATGTACAAGAGTGCAGCAAGTGGTACAGTTTACTCTTGGTCACAGTTTTCTCACTTTATGACATTACTGTAACAGTTACAGGATAGAAACACACACATACACACATTTATAGTCACACACAGCATAATTTCACTGATGCAGACAAGATCTCTTTTCAGTTTAAAAAAGAATGAAGACTGCTGTCTGACCACCCAGGTATAGACTCTACTTACACCTGGAATATAAGAATGCAATACTCTTCAAGTAAACACTGCACAGTGATAACACTATACATGAAGATTGACACATGCAGTTTTAGGATGTTCAGTAATAGCTAAAGACTAAGGAAAGTCAGAGATATCAGCCAAGAAAGTCAGTATGCTTTATCTCTTCCATTCTGATTATAATCCATTACCCAACAGAACAGGTATAGTCCAGAAGATAATGTCTTCCTATGACAATTTTAAGTGTCAATGAATAATGCTGAATACTTTGTTTTGATGGTCTTCAAATTCTTAGGTAGTAAGCAGAAAAATAAACCTTTATGGGAATTTCAATGTCAAATTTAAGCAGAGCTATCTGAACAAATATTAAGGTAACAAAATGTACAGTGTTAGGAATAATAACTTAAAATAAAGTGGTCTCATTGGCATATATCCACTGCTTGTTTTCCATTGTTCTCAAAAAGTCTCTCATTCAGTTTTGCAGAATTAAACAAATATAAATAACACTTAGTAAACACTGATACACATCTCACAGGACAAAACACATCTACAAAATATCTCTACTTTAGTTACTATAACTTGTAAAAATGGACATTTGTGATACTTACAGACAAATACATTTTACATTATAATGAGAGTCATAGTTACAAAGGCATTACTCGTTTGATGACATTTTTCTATAGATACTCAGACGTCAGTCAGACTGCATAGCAAAGGTTTTCCTCTTATTTTACTGAGATTCGGAAAGACCTTTCAGTCATTTAAGCAGCAGCTTTCTTTGCTGTAACCCCTGGAAATCTGAGTTTGAGTATCTAACCTGCTGAAACATCAGAGAATTCATAAATGATCACGGTGACAATCACCTTTTCACTGAGCATGGTAAACTGAAATATATAACCGATGAGACAACAGACTCCTCTAGATTTGGAGCTTTTTTTTTTTTTTTTTAAAAAAAAAAAAAAAAGGGGGGGTGGTGGATTTCGTTTCCTATGCTGCCCAGGAGGCATCAGGCTCACAGGGCTTCGGCAGATGTGTCTGTAGACACAGACATGGTCACCTTGGCAATCTTAACTGTGCTCTTGATGCAGCTCTCTGCAGCCCTGTGAACGCTGGCTGCATTGTTGGCGTGTTTGTGCAGACAGTCCGAGTCCCCCATGCTGTTATCAAGAGGCTGTGCAGTACCTTCACACGAGGGGAACATGCTCCGAAAGGCATGTCTCAGGTCCTTGCTCCTCAGAGCGTAGATGATGGGGTTCACGGTGGAATTCAGCAGGCAGAGCATACTGCAGAATGCAAACACCGTCTTAATGAGCTTGTTCATCTTCCCAAAGACATCATACACCATGATCGCAAGCAGAGGGCCCCAGCAGATGATTAAAACCACGAGGATCAGGACCAGGGTCTTGGCAAGCCTAATGTCCATGCGGGCTTGGTCGGGTCGAGTCACCTGGACCTTACCATCCTCCGATGTGTGGATGATGATACTCTTCTGAGTGCCACGCTGAATCATGCGGACTGCATGGCTGTGAGCCTTCCAAAGAATGTACATGTATGCATACACAATGAAGAGCAGCAGCACGCTGGTGACCCCAATCCAGAACATCAGGTAGGTTTCGTCAATGAGTGGGAAAATGTCTGAGCAAACAGACTGCAGTTTCTTGCAGTTCCAGCCTAGGAGAGGCAACACAGCAATCACAATAGCGATGGTCCACATTAGGCAAAAGGCCACCACGGCCTTTGGCCTGGTGACGATCCTCTTATAGGCCAGGGGCCTGTGAATAGATATGTACCTGTCGATGGCAGTGAGAAACAGGCTGCCCACGGAGGCAGTGAAGGAGGCTGTGACCCCGCCTAGCTTGAACAGAAACACATTGGGGCTATCTTTGCGGTGGAACACATGGAAGTCAACAAAACTGTAGACAAAAATGACACTGCCCAGGAGGTCTGCCACTGCCAAGCTGCCGATGAAGTGGTATGAAGGCCGGCAGCGAAGGCTGCGGGAGTGTAGGATGACACACAGAACCAGCAGGTTCTCCAGAACTGTGAAGGTGCCCAGCGTGAGGGACAGTACAGCAATGGCCAGCTGCTGGCTGGGGTTCAGAATCATGAAGCACTCCATGTCCATGAAGTTCTCCCCACACTGAATATTCTCCTCATTCTCCTTGTAGGATGAAAGAGACTTGTTGTAAAATTCTGAAATGTTCACCTGGTCAGCTGGGACTAACTGGGGGTTGTCTCCCGCAGTCATCTTTTCTTGGAAGGGACTTCCCCTAAAGGAAGTTAGAGGGAATTTCTGTGGGAAGTACCCTAATTTGGATGCCATGTCACCTTTGATGTCTTCGTACTGAATGTCATTGGAGCCCACATAGAGGAGGTCTGTTGTGATGGTGCGGAAGGTGGTATCTGCGAGGCCATCTAGGATCGACTTCATAACCTCAGTCTTGGATTAGGCCAATTTCAAAAAGACATGGAAAGAGACCCACAGGAGGGAATCCTAACAAAGAGGGAAAACAAATAAGCTGAATGATGAGAAAATCAGGAGAATATAAAAAGTCACTGTAAACACCCCAATAGGTACCCTCATGTTATTGCATTCCTTTCTTTGAACACAGGTCAGATGCTTATAGGTTCAGCAAACAAAGTCAGTCACTCACTCAGAGAAAAGTCACCCATAATTGGATAACGTAGCAGCACACTAGGAACCAGGTTTCTTTCAGTGCTTAAACGCTTAGATTTATGTCACCATGTGAGTCCTATATGGACCTCAGGAGTCTGACAGGTCAAGGTCACTCAATGCTTCTTGGGTGTTGTGAACACTCACGGTCATGTTAGGAATTGTTGATCACCTGGCTTTTACTGTCATAAATACACCACACATCATCCCAATGCTAGTGGGGGCTAGGGAAACAATTCTATGCTACATAGGTCTGCACTTGAAGACTTGATCACCTGTCACACAGATAAACACATAAAATAGACAAACCACAAGACAGTGTCAAGTCAGGTATTGAGTTGTGTTGCTATATGTTAAACATAAAGGAGAAGGAAGAGATTACTGAGAACTAGAGAAAGCAGGGGGAGTGCGGTGGCTCCATAGGATAAGCACTGGACTGGGAACCACAAGGTTGGTGGCTCAAACTCACCATCCATTCTGCAGAAGGCAGATGAGGCTTTCTGTTCCTACAAAGATTTAAAAGTCTCAGAGACCCTATACAAGGTTGCAATGAGTCAGACCTGACTTGAAAGCAGCTAATAACAACAACAGAGACAGCATGATGACATGGTAGGCAGATCTGGGTTTAAGTCCTGACTCCACTAGGCAAGCTCCTTCATTCAGAGAAGGAGAGGTTGGAACTAAGCACCACAGCTGAGGTGAAGTTAAGCTCCAACATCCCACACCAACCAAGACACTTTTCACAACAGGGAAACTTGCACTGAGGTTAATGGAAGACCAAGATCTTTAAGACTGGAAAGGAGTGATGATAGAATAGTTGCCTGATAGCATCCCTGTAGGAAGGTGACAAGAGACAAACCTGATGTACCCATGGCTTTCCATGAAATAGTATTGGAAACAACAGTGACTGAGATGAAGGGGGTCAATTGTTAAAGGTTGTTCAGTTCTAAGCTAAGGAATTTGACTGATTTTACAATTTTAAATGTTTGTTTAAAATGTGGCTATTAGGTAGGCTCTTGAATATATATATATATATGGAATGGTGTCTATAATAATTAAAGTAAATATTTTATTGGTTGTCTTGGGCTGGTTCTAAATATATCACGCTGCTTTGTTGTTGTTGTTAAGTGCCATCGAGTCGATTCCGACCCACAGAGAACCTGCATAGGGTTTCCAAGGAGAAGCTGCTGAGCTTCAACCACCAACCTTGCAGTTCAAACGATTTTGCAGTCTAACGCATTAGCCCACAGCACCACACAAGGACTCCATCATACTGCTTTGGGGGGGAAGGGGAAGACTGGTCATGACCTTGAACCAAGTAAAAAGTTCTTCCCACTAAAACTCAAATCCCATCTAAATGAATCAGTTACTCCTTCACTTATTTATACATCCATTCAACAAATTAACTGAATGCTACCATTTGCCTGGAGCCCTGGTAGCGAAACGGATTATGAGCTGGGCTGCTAACCAGAAGGCTCAAATCTACGTCACTCCACAGGAGAAAGATTAGGCTTTCTGTTCCCATAAAGATTTATAGTCTCAGAAACCCTAAACAGGGCCACTAAGAGTTGGAACTAACTTGGGGGCACAAACCATTACCACCAGCAGCACCACTGTTTGTCTGGAGTGGCACTATGGGATAAAGCACTGGACCACAAGATCAGTGGTTCAGATGCACCATTCATTCATTGGAAACCTGATACAGGGTAACTATGTTACCTTAACAATTCTCTGTGGGAACAGAAAGTCTCTTCTTTCTCCCATGGAGCAGCTGTTAGGCTCGACCCGCCGCCCTTGTGCTTATCCTACAGAGCCACTGCGTTCCTTGGCAAATAGTTGTTGTTGTTAAGTCCAGGGAGTAGATGTATAGGGTTTAAGAACAGGTGGTAAGTTTGAACCCCCAAACCTTGTGGTTTAAGCCACCTTTCAGCCCAGTGCGTTAACCCACAGCACCATCTTGGAATACTTATATAGAGCCACTATGAGTTGAGACTGATTCTATGACACTTAACAACTCTGTGCCACAGCACTCTCAGCACTAATGGGATGGTAACCAGGTTGTTGTTGTTGTTAGGTGCCATTGAGTCAGTACTGACTCATAGTGACCCTATGCACAACAGAACTAAATGCTGCCCGATCCTGAGTCAACCTCACAACTGTTGCCATGCTTGAGCCCACTAATGCTGCCACTATCCCAATCCATCTCGCTGGGGGTCTTCCTCTTCTTCTCTGACCCTCCACCTTACTAAACATGATATTGTTCTCCAGAGACTGGTCCCTCCTGACAATAATAGGTCTGAAGTATCCCTCAATGGCCTGCCTGCCCCATTGTCCTGGAGCCCTTTTTCTTGGTCAGTGTAGCCTAGGGTAGTAGTACAGCGACACCTCCAAACCAAAAGCCTTGAATCTTCCATTAAAAGAGTAACTTTTATTATCACTCAGGAAATTTGAACTTTCCCCCAATGTAGGCCTCTAAAACAGTTCTATACACACACTCTCCCCAACCCCTACACTGCCACAGAACAGGCACACGAAAGCTATCAGCTTGACCATACACAAGAATTCCAGAACGAAGTACGTCAAGCCCAGCCACATCAGGGCACTATCCCAGGGGCACAGGCTACTTGCTGAGGACAAAGAATGTAGAAATAAAAGACCAAAACTCAACAGTCAAGCCATTTGCCTAGTGCTTCCTGGTTCTTTTACTTAAAATCACTCCTGAGTTTCTAACCTCAAGCATAGTTTCAACTGTTAAATCTCAAGTATCTTTCATCAGTCTGTCTGTTACACCCTTCTTCATATCCTTGTCTCTTCCAGAAAATGACCTCTATATGTCCCATCATTGGACTATTTCCATAATTCAACTCATGTGCTTTACACATTTGTTTGCTTAAAAACAAACAGAAAACATTCATAGTGAAATGGTTGAAATTTTCATCCATCTTCAAAGAGAAACAGAGATAGCACCAATATGTACTCAAACCTACCTTTGGCATCTCAGCTCGACTCGCTGATACTTAGCTCACTCTAGCCATAGGGGATGACTGGTTGCTCTCTGAATATACCATTGCTCCTGACCACCTACCTTTTTTCCTTCTGTGCTTCCCTCCCCTCCACCTAAAATACTCATTTCCAAGCTTTCTGCTTGGTATACTTATCTTTCAAGGCCTAGTTTCAATGCTACTTCCATTTCTGAGATCAGTTCTTCCCACCAGGTAGAACTAGCTTCTCTAGTTTACCCTTCCTTATGTTGTTGTTGTTGTTAAGTGCCATCGAGTCGGTTCCGACCCATAGCGACCCTGTACAGGGTTTCCGAGGGTGTAAATCTTTACGGGAGTAG